GTTTCAAATAAACAAAACAGCGATTCTTTAAGCCACTTCAGTTGTGTTGGCCAATAACTCGAAAGCAGAAAAACTTTAGTTTGCCAGATACTTAAAAAAACAGATAAACAAACATACAGGGCTAATGGAAAACAGAATTCAAAACTTATTTGAATCAACTTGCTTACTATTCATCTTGTTCGGGTCATGTAAATTCACCTTTTGTGGCAGAGAAAATGAGACAGACAAATTTATTATATGTAATTAGTGCAGAGTGTATACAAATATATATTTACAGCAATAAGCAAATCTATTTTTAATGCGAAATGCGTACTTGACAAGCAAAACATAATTCCAAAATCACACAAAAATACAAATATCACTAGAGCCTATACACACCTACATTTAAACATACGTGCATAAATAAAAATCCACTTCAAACACAAAAAAAACACACACACAGTAAAATTGCTAAAAGCCACTGAATAAAGTATGCATATATATTTTTACAGTGCATAACTATGGTCTTAAATGGTTTATTTCATTACTACTGGGATGTCACTTTTTGGATTGAGATTTCGGTACTCTCTGGAAAAAAAAATTATATAAAAATTTTTTTTTTAATTTTTTGAAAAATTTAAATAACAATTTGATTGTTAACTTTTGTCTAAACAGAACACGAAAGGAAGGCAACTTCGAAGAGCCGATGTTTACATATTCTTTCAGGTATTGCAAAAATTAAACATCTAATTTTCGAATTATGAGAGTATTCATTAAAAGACTTTGAAGCCATGATTCGATCGTTCCTATGGCAGCTATATGCTAACGTTTTTCGATTTTAATAAAATTAAAAGTGTCATTCTGAATTATCAAACCATTCCTAAGTCCAAAAGAATTTTAAAAAAAAAATTGAAAATTAGAGAAGTTATAATTTATGTTTGTAATATTCCGATTGTTTCCTTGGGAGATATTTAATATAGTGGTCCGAATTTGATCAAATTTTAACCGTAATTTCAAAATAATAAGCCATCAATAAATATCGAAAAAAATTAACAAAAAAAATATTGGGAAAAATCTGTCCAATGTGCAAATGTCTGTGGTACGCTTCACAAGACCAACAACACTTATATTTTGCCATTTCACTGGCCTAAAATTTATTCATATTCAATCTGTCTTTGATGTTTAAAAGTATAAATACGTTTTTTATTTTTTATAAGTAGATATATATTTTGTATTAATGACATTTGAATCAACTGCCAATGGGGGAACAAATAGTTATTGGGAGTTAGTTGCTGAACATAAATTTCAGGCATGATCTTAAACGTTAGATGTTTGAATGCACTCTCTACTTAACAAAGTTGGGGTTCTTTTTCAGTATGACGAATCCCTCCATGACGGGAGTGAGGGCCAGATACTCGTCGGTGGCCAGCTCGGCACGCTCGCCGATGGCCAGCAGGACGGGCGTGGTGTGGGTCTGGAAACCGGTGATGGTCTTCGGCTTGCCGGCCTGTCCGACCACATCGATGGCAATGCCGACGCGCACGGGCACCTGCAGCTGGTTGAGCTCCTCGTCGAAGGTGATCAACATGCGGGCCTGCATGGCCGGCACCAGGGTGTAGAGCAGATAGTGCGATCGGTTCAGAATCAGGTTCTTCACATCCAGCAGGGATACCAGCGTGGCCATTAGGCCAGCAACGGCCATGGGGTTCATCAGCTGGCGATCACTGTGGTAGGGACTCAGCGACAGGGTGCCCTTGCCCAAGTGCGTCAGACTCTGGGCAATGCGCACCATGAACAGATTGCTGGGATCCTTCGAATGGTATTGCGCCAACTGGCGCAGCATGGATGCGAGGCGGGCATTGTTCGTGCCGGCGCCCACCAGGCCCATGGCAAAGATCGCATTGTGGGCCACCTCGGCATCGCTGTCGTGCGAGAACTTGCTCAGCGTGTCGATGATGTTCAGCTTGGGATTGGAGGCGGAGATCAGGCCCAAGGCCAGCGGGACGGCCCGCCGGATAGCCGGCTCGCAATAGCGCAGCAGGTTGCCAAAGGAGCGGTATGCCATCTCGGCGCCAATGTCCTCGCCCATGGCGATCAAGGCAATGCCCAGCACGGCGATCGATTGAGTGGCCGACAAGTCCTTCTCGCGCTCCTTTTCCTTCTCCTTCTCCTTCTCCTTGTCCTAAAGAGTGTTCGAGTGTGAAGATAATATTATAATATATATAATATAAAATATAATAAATTATTACCTTGTCCTTGCCCTTGTCCTTCTTGCTCTTTTCCTTCTCGTCATCGGCACTGGTGGTCTCATAGTGATCGGAGCAGATGTGGAGCAACTGCTGGATCTTGAGGACATTGCCGGTGCCGGCATATGCACAAATGTCCACCATGGTGGTGGCCATGCTGCGGTGCGGCTCCTCCAGAACCTCCAGGGTCATCATGACGGCCTCGGTGGACTTCTGGCGGCCCAAGTACAGCAAACCGAGTCCCAAGAACAGGAACCTAGTGTAGGTGTCCTTAAGGTCCGACTTGGTCAGTCCCATGATGGTCTGCAGCAGGATCTCGGTAATCTCCGCGTTGCAGGAGCCTACGCTGATCAGACCCAGCGACAGGGCCGTGATGCCCAGGATCTCCACGCTGGCCGAGCTCTTGTTGTTGCTGCCAAAGGAGAAGACCGTCTTCAACGTGTCGATCACAATGGAGCGGTTGGAGCCGGCATAGGCGATGCCCAGGCCAAGGATGGCGCCAACACGCATGCAGGAGTTCTGGTTATCGATGTAGTCCGAGAGCAGGGCATGGGCCGGATCGACCTCGTTGCGAATGCCGCAGTTAACGATGCCGCAGGCCAGCAAGGCGCCGGACTTGATGTTGTCGTCGGTGGAGTACAAGTACTTGTCGATCATGGTCAGGCCGCCATCGACGTCCCACAGAAGGATGAGACCCAACGAGGCGGTGGCCGAGAGCATGCCGTGCTCCTTATTCTTGTACAGCCACTTGTTGCCATCCTCCGACAGCAATTTATCGACACCAAAGCCGGCATTGACGAAGCCATTGACGAAACTGGCCGCCAGATTCTGCTTGGCCGAGTCCACTTGGATCGAAGCGAAGCGGGAACGCGAGTTGTCCAGATGCGATTTGTAAATGTCCTCCGGCGTCTTGGGCTCCATGATGTCCAGCTCGCGGGCCAGATTCAGGAAGTGCTTGTTCAGATTAGCATTGGACATGATCTCCATCAGGTCGTCGTAGTCGGGCACCGATTCGTCCAGCTCCAGGCAAATCTGCTGGCGTGCCAGCATGAAGGCCAGCTGCTTCTGCATGGCCGGCTCCTTGGGCTCCTTGAAGATCTCCCCGATCTTGTCCATGTCGTTGAGCATCAGGGCCAATCGCATGGCCTGTGTGTGCTGGGTGAACTTGCGCGACAGCTGCAGGGCCGTTTCCAAGATAATGGTGTTGTCCGGCTCGGGGACATAGGGATAGCAGGACTGCAGATAGAGGCAGACACGCGGATAGGCCGACTCGTCCACATAGTCGCCCAGCAGATGCAGGTGATCGATTTCGATGAGCAGATCGCAGGCATCCGCCTCGGCATTGTGCTCCATGTTGTAGGGTATGATCTGTTTGACCAGCTCGATGAGTTGGACACGGAAATCGCCAGTGGTGTCGTGGTAGTGGGCGGATATCTCCCCGGAGAGATGACGCACATACTCGTGGCCCCAGTCGCCGATGCGCTGCTTGCGATCGCAGAGGAATCGATAGGCCAGGCAATCCTTGCCGCTGCCCATGGTCATGGAGAGCACTGAGATGATGTCGGCGCACAGCTGGCGGGACTGCTCGTCCGGCATGTGCTTGTAGACCGTCTTCATGGTGTCGTAGTGCGGACGCATGAACTTCAGCGGCTTGGGCACCGAGGTCATTGACGTGGTGGAGGCCCGGATCAACTTGGCCATCATCTCCAGCGTCGGTTGGTAGAGCTTCGCGTCCGGCTCCTGCAGGTGCTGCACCAGCAGCTCCAGCTCCTCCTGCAGCTGCTGGTCCTCGTCCGACAGCTCCGGCTGCTGCTCCTTATCCTTGCCGTCCTTCTTCTCGTCTTTCTTGGCCTTCGGATCCTTCGCATCGCCGCCCGTGGCCGCCGGCTGGGGCTGCTTCTTCTCCTGCTTGGTTTCGCCCGTCATTTTTGCGATGCACTGTCTGCTTTCTCCACTTCAAATTTTATATTTAATTATAGTTACACTTTAGTTTCAACTGTAATGCGGCGTTCGCTTTTGTTCCTTTTTTCGTTGTTGAAACAGCAGAATTACACAGCGCTTTTTGTGGGTGTGACCAAATGGGGAACGCCAAAATATACCACGGTAGTCATGCAAAAATACTAATATTCTGAATCAAAAAATCAAGAACTGGTCACATTAGAGCGACATGGTGATATACAAATATCGTTTTTCAACCGATAGTCGTTTTCGATTATCGAAAATATTTGGTTGCTATTAATGCGCTTTTCTCACTGAGGTAGACTATGCTATTTCTCGCCCATATGGTTTATATTCGCATTGAGCATTTGGGTGTAAATTTATGCTGTTACAAAAAATAGTGTGAACTGTGCTTTTGTTACATATTTATAGCAATAAATAGACTTATTCCATTGGCGCTTTAATAGACTTTTTAAATAATAATAATAATAATTATTTTAATTATTTTATTTTATTAATATGGAGCTTAAGTTTAATTTGGAATTGGGTTGTGACGGCTTTTCTTACATTTATCTAAAAGTACCAAAACTGATGGGAAGAGAACAGAAATTTGAATTTTCCCGCTAACAAAATAGCTATTACTATTACTAAATATATTTTTGACATTCGCAAGTAGAAAGTTGTTCTTCTGCTCTTGATGTGTCCACTGATGTTGGCATATTCCATCTATTTTAATCCTGCTCCTCTGTGATATTCATTACCAAATTGGTAATTTCTCTGTTTCTAACATACTGAAAAAAACTTAAATAATACTAATAATACCACAAAAGTATTTTACTCAAAAGACAAAACTAAAGCCATATTTTTTGGCTCACATGTGAATTTAGTTTGTTTACGTTTCGTTTAAATTGAGAGGACTACTAAGTAATATGTTGAGAGTGACCCAAACCAAGAACAGCCTTCTCGATGGAGCCTCCATAGCGGAGGAGCTCTACACAACGCCGAAGGACGGCGATGATTTTTTTGAGAGTCTGTCCAAGCCGGCAAAGGAGCCCACTAAACTGGCGCCCAGGAACACCTGTTGGTTAAAAGCACTTCCCTAATTAATCTTACAGTTCTAATAGATATCCCTAATTACAGTTATTCGGGCCGGGGTTTTGACCACTGTGAGGGGCTCCGCGTACATGGAGTATGGAAACACCAAGGTACTTGCCATTGTGGCTCCCCCCAAGGAGTTAATCCGCGCCAGCGCCCGCCGGATGAACATGGGCGTGCTCAGTTGTTATGTGAACTTTGCGGCCTTTGCAACGGGGGATCTGGAATCGGTGGCGGAACGCGAACGACACTTAGGCAGCATGCTGACCAAGGCCTTGGAGCCAGTTGTTTGCCGAACGGAGTTCCTCAACTTTCAGCTGGACATACGGGTGCTGATCCTAGACGATGATGGCTGTCTGCTTAGCACGGCCATCAACTGCTGCGGCGTGGCCCTGGTGGAGTGCGGAATTTCCACATACGATCTGATAACGGCCTCCACGGCTTGTATCTTTCGGGATCACGTCTTCCTTAATCCCAGTGCCAAGGTAGAGGAGCTGTTGTGGAAGCATCGCGGCAATAGCGGCACCAGTGAAACCTCCACGCCCCCGTCTGTCCAAGAGCACGGTCTGATCATCACCGCCAGCATGGACACCTTTGAACAGATCGCCCAGTGTCAACAGTGCGGATATCTGAGTCCTGAGACCTATGTTAAACTGCTGGACTACACGCTAGCCATTAACAAGTCGCTGCGACAGCTGGTCAGAGGTGTCCTGACCAAGCGGGTCAAGGAGCAGCACGAACTGGACCTGCGCGAGAAGGCCGAGAGCGCCCTGGAGGATCAGCGGTTGGAGGAGATCATCGAGAAGCTAAAGACGCAAGGACTGGACGAGTTTATCCAGTCCAACATTAAGGAAGATCCTTATGTTAAGAGGAATTAGCTAATAAAATTTCGATTTTGTTCGTATTTTTCAGTAATTTCTCTTAATTGGTAAAAGGATCTAAGGATATTTTGGACAAATTTGTTCTACTAGAAGGAGTAAACAGATTAGAAATTTCTGAATAAGCAGAATTACAGGCAGTAGCTTCCTAGAAACAAATACAACGAATGTGTTGAGTCCTGACAAAACTTTTATTTATATTTTTTGCACTTCCAAAGGTTTCGAAAAGCTCCGAGAAAGAGTACATATTAAATGCATGGCGCTTTAAAACATCAATTCAGACTTCTTATCCTTTCGAAAGTGAATTTTTAGTACCGTAGTTTTTTTTTTTTTTGTAGTTCCTAGAATGCTTTTCGTCGCATCTCCAGCGACTCCTTCTACTGCTGATCCGTGGAGGCCTCGAGGACGGCGCCCGAGTAGGCCAGATCCCAGTAGTGCTCAACCTGGTGCTTCTGAAAGAACTCGCGGGCCATTTTTTCCATGGGAAAGATCTTGAACTTGATTTCGCCAAAGTGGCGACGCTGACTAGTTCCCTCCCAAACGAGCACACACGAGTTGGGCACATCCTGCCCGTCGTTGCCTTTCGCCAGGTCCTCCTCCCATTTGATGCGCGTTAGCATGAGGCGGCGGTATTTCTTCTGTTGCTTGGGACCACCCTCAACGACAACCACACAGCAATCGCGAAACAAAACAACGCTGCCGGTCATTTGCAGTTGCTTGGCATTGGTCTCCACCTTAAACTTCTTGCTCTGGTTGTCCTGCAGATCGCGTATGCGATACACGCTCACATGCACGCCGCAGCTGGTGTCCTCCCTGAGTTTGCGCTGCTTCTTCTCGCTCTTCTGCTCGCTGGTCAGCTTGCGGGCATTGTTGGCATCCTCGTGCGCCTTTTGCCGCTTGGCCATCTGCTCGCGGACATGTTGCTCCATCTTTGTGGGGTCCTGCACGGCCTCCGAGCCCAGAACACGCATTAGGTTGGAGATGCGCAGCTTGGGCTCTGGTGGGGCCACCAATCCCAAGCGGATCTTCTCCTGCTCCTCCTTCCAGGCCTCGCGACGGTTCTGACGACGCAGCTTCTTGCGCTCCTTCTTGGTAAGGAATACGGGCAGATACACCGGCTTCATGGGCTCATCTAAAGGGGAACGATTTTGAGTTTCTATTGAAAGCATTGCTTGGTATTCACTTACTTGGTGGCTTCATTTGTGTGGGATGCTCTATGAGGTTGCTAATGGCCGTCTGGCGAATGCTTATCTTACCGCTCTCCTCGTCCAGCGTCTCCAGGTCCTGGGTGAGTATGACTGAGTCCCACCACTCCATGGCGGGCACATCGTCGGGCATGTCCTGCTTGGGAGCAATCAACGCCAGCTTGGTGGCCGACGAGATGCCCGTTTTCCGGGCTATTTGCGAAATCTCGTTCTGCAGCCGCTCCAACTGGCTCTTCATTCGCATCCGTTCGGCCAGCTGCTGAAATTTGCCGGGCTCATGGAACCGCAGTGTCCGCTTGTTCCTCACCGTGGGCTTCTGGGCTATGCGATCGTCAAAGTACTTGATGGCCTCCTCTTGCGCAGAAGTGCCGGATTCACTGCGTTCACCCAAGCCCGTTTGGCGTTGGAACACCTCGCGCTTCTTGGCGCGTATGTTGGCCTTTAGAGTGGGTGTCACCGTGGGTATGTTGATGGTTCTACCGCTCTTGTCCACAGTGCGTCCCTCCTCGTCCAGGATCAGGGGCTTGGGTCGCTCCTGTGCCTGTGCAGCAGCTGCAGCGGCGGCTGCCACTGCATTGGGTTGAATCAAGTTGGCCAAATTGCCGGTGAGCTTGGCCCTGATCTGCGCCTGCAATTCGGCTATCTTTCTGGCCTTCTCCGAATCCTCGGGCGTGGGTTTCTTGGACAGGGCCTGGGTGGCCAGGGCAACGGGCATTCCAATCGAGGGAACGGATGCCAGCAGGGGATCCTTGTCGCGCAGATTGCTCAACGCCCGCTTGCGTTCCTCGATCTCTCTCTGGGCATGGGCCATCATTAGCTTGATCTGCGTGGAACTCAGCGAGGCGGACATGGCCGCATCCTCTTTCTGGTCACCACCGCCATTTTTTTCCAGGACATCGAAGCGGGATTTCTTGGGCGCTTCGATGGCGCCACTACCGCCTCCGGAATCTGAGGCGGCAGCGCGCTTTTTGGACAACTTCTGGTCGTCGACGTCGCCATCCTTGCGCGTGATAATGGACGACATAATTCGCAATTAAATGGGTCGAACTAAAAAGTAAAGGTTATTTACCAACAACTTGGCACATTCCTCGTGCGTTTTATACAGCAAATTTGCAAAAGAAAACAAGACACAAGGTTTTTTTTCGGTGAAAAATTCTTCGAGACAAGACAGGCTGGTTAAACAAAATTCAAACAGGGTTGTCGTTGTCTACACACACACGGCCAGTGCGACCGTTTTGCTTCGTTTTATCGAATTGCAGCTCTGTCTCTCTCAATTTTTTTGTCGCTCTCCGCTCCGCCATATTTGTTGAAGCCGCTTACAACTGTCTATTTTTTTCTCGTCGTGTCTGTGTGTGCTTAATTATTTGTTGTGAAAATTAAGCCATTTTCGTGTGCTTAAATAGCGTAAAAGTTGCATTCGACTGCTAGCATGGCATCGGAGGAAGAGAATGACGATAATTTCCAGGGTGAGTGCATTGTTTTAGTCGGCCAAAAGTCGGCGTGAAAAAATTCAGTCGGTCGGTCGAGAACCGTGGTCATGTTCAAGAGCCGCAAAGCCGCGCAGCGTGCTTGTCCCTCTCCTATTGTTTATTGTTTGCTGATAATGCCAATTGGCGAAAGACATTGTTTCACGCATAGGTAACTGTAAATATTACGGCAAATTGTGAAATTTTTACATGTGTGGCGCGTTTTTTTCTGGTCTTTTGCGCCTCCTCCATTCCACACACATTTATTATTGCATTTTTGTGTTCTCTTGATTCGCGAATGCAGCCTTATATCCGTCCCGCTCGCACAGCAAAACATCTGTTTTCATGGTTGTTTTGGTTGTCGAATTGTCGGGAAAATATATAAATTATGTTTTAGATTTAAGCTCTGTCATCATATAAAAATTAAGTACTGTTTTTACCTATATCTAGTCAAGTGGTCAATTAGAAACAAAGAAAATGACGGTGTTTTTACCTTTCCGATGGTGTGGCAGTATTTGCGGTATGACTGTTTTTCGTTATACGGTATCTCATTAAAAAAGTGTGCCCCTTTCAGGGCTAAACGAAAATCCCCAGACAGCCTTGCATGCCACCATTTACATTCATTGTTGCTTGGACGTGGCAGCCATGACGTGATTTCTGAGTTTTTGTTAAACAGATTACACTATTAATTGTAGCGAAAACTGTTAATTAAGGGAAATACGTGCATTACTCGTCACCGCCTATCGATATTGCCAGTGCAAATCCAGAAATCCAGTGCGTAATATATTCAATAATTAAAAAGAAAAATGAGTGTGTGCAAAAAATAAAAACCTGAAATTACCACAATATATATATATATATATGTATTGTGTAAGAAAGCAAAGCGAGAAAAAAACGAAGCAATAATGTGCATATGCAAAGAAACGAAACAAAGATGCGTGGAATATTGTGGAAAATCTTGTCGCACTTCCACTGACGCACATACATATGTGATTTTTTTCCACTCCCCCCTTCGCCGACGTGCTCTCTTGATTGATTTCTCTACTCTCTCGCGTGTATCTGTATGTGTGCGTGTTATGCACGCGCGTTCCAGCAAAACGTCGCCGTCGTCCCGTCTCTGTCGATCTAACGAAAAAAAAACCCCAATCCCGACGCGGTTTAATTAATTTAGTACAAAATATAGTAACCAGATTACAATCATACAAAAGTGCCTGTTAAACAACCAAAAAAAAAAAAGAAGAAAAAGCATTTTTATAAGAGTTAACCAAAATATGCCAACACACAAGTAAGACGAAGAAGAAGAAAAGCGTAGAGTGTAGGAAAGAGAGGGGTGACAGTGGAAGGGTGTCTGTCTCTGTCTCTGCAAGGAAATCGCTGGAATGTAGAGTAGTTTGTACAAAAACCGATAAACAATATGCCGCCGCCGTGTAACAAAAAACAGCATTATCCACCCCAATTTCGCATACAATTTATGTTAATTCGTTCGCAGCTGTTCCTCTTCTGTCTACGTTCTGCTCTCTTCTGTCCCTGTGCCCATTTTCGCCTCTCTTTTTTTTTTCCATTCGACGCTGTTGCACTGTGGGCGTGTGTATGTATATGTATGTGGAAGTTATCCTAGAGAATGAGCGTGGGAGCAACTTTCAGTGTCTAATTTTAACACTTGTCTCCCCGCCCCCAGTCCATTCTAATTGGATTTGTGGTCCGCTGTCGTTATCCTTCGATATATCGATAAGATGCTCACTTTATAGCCTCACTCTTACGGTTGTGACGTCAGCTTACAGTTGTTCTTGTCCATTTCTCTTTGATTTCACCACTTGCCGGTTCTGCGCTCAATTTTCTATGATCTATGTTAAGAAGTTGATGAAAGTGTTTATTCTAACACAGTTACTCTACTACAAGTAAACAATCGCGAGTAATGCGACATTGCATAAATTGCAAAAGACTAAAGAGAGGTGGAGCGATGAAGAGGCGGTGTTTGTATTAGTGACTGTCACTATTTGTGCAGTAATGCAACAATAAAAGGGTGTCAGAGGGAGGAAAAGTATTTGAAGCGACGTATATATATTTTTTCATTTATATATATTTTTATTGTGGTACGTAGCAACTGTTTCGAGTTTTTTAATACTCAAATTTTGGTATTAAAATATTAAGCAATATATTATATACTCCATTTAAATGTAAATGTACATACATATGTAGTATTCATTTATTTTTGTGAGCTGAACATTCTTCTCGATTTCCCTTTATGTTCAGAATTCCCTGTTCGTATTTAATTTTCTCAACCAAAAGCTTTGCAGTTATCGACTGCATAAATCTGCCTTAAAGACCCATATCTAGCAACAACAACGTGGCGCCAGCACAAATAAAATCAAAAATTCAATACAAGAAGTGAAAGTATATTATACGAGTGTGAGGTGCATTTGCCGCCGTATTGGTGGCGATCTTACCTTGCTTTGGCGAACTACAACATGCCATCCCGCTCGCACGCACTGCATTCAATCAAGCCAACAACAAGTGGTGCTTTTTTATATCCGCCATATATATATGTATATATCCATATATAAATGTATGTGTGCTGGCATTTCAAAAAGTTTACTTGCGCTTAAAATCCACAAAACTATGAAACACAAATAGGAAAAGTAAATATTATTTTAGCTTTCAATACGTTCATTTCGCTTGAAAATCATTCTCTCAAATAGAACAACACTAGGTCGATTGTTTTTTTTTTTTTTGCTCCTCTCGATTTTGACATTTGACGCGTATCTTCGCTCTGTCTCTCTCGTTTTTTGATGGGAGCGTGTGTGTCGCTCTTCCAATGGTGTTTTTGTTGCTTTCGGTTGGAGTACACCAACGCACACATTCGAAATCGGAAGCATTTGACATTGATTACGGTAATACCTATGGCTTCGTGTGGTTGGCTGTGTCTGTGTGCTTTTTAATATTTGTGCAACTGCTGGTTGTCTTGTTATTTTACCTATTTACAGTAATTGTCTTGTCGCTCGGAGAGAAGGCCGAGTTTCATTTGTTGTTGTTGTTGCTTTCACAGCTATTTGTTTTAGATTATTCGAACACAGATGCAAACACATCACTCTCGCACACTGTCACAAATTTCATGCAGCAAATGATTTTTTTTTTTTTGAAGTCACCGCCACCGCAATCAAAGCCATATGCAAAAGCTTGTGTACGAGTTAATTTATTTTTAAAATCTTAAATGTACTAGTGTGGGAATGTGAAAATAATCGAAGCTTATCAACTGTTGAACTGATCACTTTTATCGGTTTTTTCGTTTTGAGGGTTGCCACACTTTTGGATCGATCTTTGCAATGATAAATTATAACTCGTTGGCGAACTTCCAACCTTTGTGTTGATAGTTTTAAGACTGTTTAAAATACGAAATGTCAGATTCAAACAGCTCTTTAATAATAACCCCGATTTGAACTTGCATCGCTGTGGAACTCAATATGAATTATGATAGCTCTATTTTTTCGTTATCAGCACAAAGAAATGAATTTGTCTTTAACGGGTAACACATTAAGGAATTTTATACAATTACTTTGCAAGAAATATTTCATTAGCATTTATATCAGCCTACTTTCCGGTAGCATCTTTTGCATTTTAATGATTTTAAGGACGGGAGGTGAAAGTGAAGGTCATTAATATTTGCATATGGAAATGTTTACGCAGCGAAAATGCCGAAACATAAATGGTCATATGGCAAATGCCGTTTCATTTCATGTTGACTCGTTTCGTAGTGTTTTTCGCTTGCCATCGGTACGGTCGCCATTGTGATTTCCGTTTCTGTTTCTCTTTGGCTCTCTTGTTTCTCTCTTTTTGTTTTGCCACAAAATGTTGATTTGTTGTTGTTTTTAATAGCCTTAACTTAATTGGTTCAATAGTTTTGTAATTGTTATCGGGTTCCGCTTGCGGCCCACAGCAAAGCCAAATTTGTGCTTCGATTGTCACCGAAAATAGGTTTATGGTAACAACTATGTATGTATGTTTACTGGGTGTGCAACCAGATACATCAATAGCACGCGAATCTATTTGTGTCATTTCAACGTATTTCTGTCGTTCCTGTTCTTTTATCGAATTAACTAATATAATCGAAATTATCGCTTCAATCGGTTATTTTTGCGCTTTACTGTTGTCTAATTAGCCACTTAGTCGATAGCTAAGCCAAAGCGACAGCTTGTTAGCTCAGCATTGCCAACAAAGTGCATAATTGTTGTAGACGACATTGCCATCGCCCACTTTTTGTATGTGCTTTTGTTTTTCACAGTGGCGGTCAGAGTCTTAGCATTGTTTACTTCACAAAAATTTTATGAAACCCACAGTAAAATTCCTTAAACCAAAGAATGGGTTTTAAAATTATGTTTTTAATTCATTATTCAAATTTATTGGTGAAATTTCTAAGTGACATGATATCAAAAAATTCATGGCTTGGATCAGATCTAACGCTAACATTCAATTGGTCATATTTTCAGTAACTTATTCATCATGTTTTTAATGTATGTGTCACGATTGAAATTAGCTTATTAAATATGTATACCATTATGACGAATTAAAGAAAACCTTTAAATATAGTGACTCAAACTTTGTTTTGCTTTTGAATATTTTTTCTTCAAAATCAAGCCCCAATACATTTAAATTATTCTGAGACTTAAAATAAACGATTTTACATACAAATAAGAACTTTTCAAGGGTTAAATATTATTTTTTTCTAAATAAGCCTGACTTATACAAATAATAAGAACATTAGTGAGACTTCTTTGACCGCACCTGAATATTTTGTGATTATTGTAATCTGTCGTTAACTTTGGCATAGTTTCGTGTAGCTGAGAAACCAGAAAAACCAACATTAAAATTACCAACCCAAGACACAAAAACAAAAGTAGTTGACAGCAAGCCCTCGTTTTCGTTGTTATAGTTGTTGTTTTGGTTTTTGTTATAGTTGTTGCCACCCGACTTGTTACATATCGCTACAGTTGTAGTTGTTGTTGTTGCTCTCGCTTTTGCGGCGGTAGTTATATGTAAGTATGCAGTGTAGTTGTTGCTTGTGGTCGGTTTAGTCATACTCACGCTCGCCTATAATGTTTATATAATTTTTCGTATCTTTTATTTTTCACATGCATACCGCGCGAGGTTTTTTTATGGCTCGTTTGTGGGTTGGGTTTTGGGTTTTGTGCACTCAACTCTACAAAAAACGCAACTCGAGGGCTGACTTTGTTATTTTTTCCAACCCGCTCTTTCGTTTCGATGGCTCAGAAATTGTACTTGATAAGAAAACCAACCACACAGCATAAATCGCAGGGCTTGAGCGATTAGCGATTGCTGCCGTCTGCTTCAACTACAAATTCATTAATTAATAACATATAAATTGGTAGCTTGCAAATTGAAATAGTTATTTGTTATTAAGTCTATGCAAAAGTATTAAATGTATTTTTACATATTTTGAGATGAGTGGTGCCACTAACTTACATTCGATTCAAGACTAGTTTTAGATCACATGCACAAACTAAAAAAAAATAACATTTGGGTGAAGAATACTGTGACACATTAAAAAGTATATATTTTTAACAATTAAAATGTAAATCGCTTAATAATATTTTGGTTACTCACACTTTTTAAACGAGTCATCTAGAAATATAATTAAAATTGTATTTGATTCTTGAGAGTGAAACATTTTTTTGCTATCAAAAGAACTGGGCCTTCCACCCGAAGTTCTAGTCTCTTAGTTTGTTTTAATTTATATTCAAAGGTCGTTTCTTTGTTTC